AGGGATATCATGTAGATAAACAGTCTGGTGCATTTCTCTTCTTTATGATCTCAGAAACAAATCCAGGTTAGTCTAAACTATTCATAATCATTCCATCTCCCTTGCAATTTAGCCATGGGCATGTAGTAGAACCTTGGCCAATGGAATCTGGAGCTGAGTGCTGGAAGGATCCAGGAAATTTTTCTTTCTTCTAAAATTTTTTTATTTAATTATTTTTCAACTACAGTATTCTGTCTTTTACTCCCATCAATTTTTCTTGATATTACTAAAAAGACTAAAGATAGAGCCTGTCTTTGGCCTTTTGGATGCTATCTTATAAGAAGTGATGCTTGGAGCTCTTGTCATTACAGAAAAGTTAATTGAGATTCCTGACACTTCAGAGCCATTCAGTTCACACCAGAACAACCTCACATCTGAATTTTCTATAAACTAAGATAGCTTTTTCTTATTATTTAAGCCCTCCCCCAAAATAAGGAAGGTGTGATTAAAAATCCAACCTATAATCAATATCAGAATTATGGCTAGACTCTATATTTAACCTTTAGTGTTTTATATCTAACAGTCTTTCTTCAAAATCAGGAAATAAGGTATTAATAGAATATTTGTTTAGTACTTTATAGATTTTCTGTGTTCTTTATTTATATGTATTTGTTACAGAACCAGCCCAGAATGGTGCCCTTAAACTTAACAAAAGTGGTGTATTTAAGGTTCTCTGTTATTCTTTCTTGAACTTTAATGAATGCCTTTGTATTTACAATCCTTATATATCTTTTCCACTTATTACCTTTAGAACCAAACTATAATTTAAGATATTATTGGTTATTATACTGTTCTAAATTCTCTGTGTTTGCGCATAACTTATCTTGACAATAAATTAAGACCATAAAAAGTACTTAAAATTATTCTTTATTTTCAACTTGCTCCTTTTTTTCTTTAACACAATTTCATACTTTAGTAGTATCTTCCCCTTGCCCACACACTTCCTACCTGAATATTCTTAAAAACAAAATTCATGGCTTTTAGAAACTCTTCAGGAAATTACTCTAGGACTCTTTAAAATGATTGAAGAAGATTAGTCTTTTTCTGTTCTGAATTGGTAGTCATTATCCAGCCTGTCTGCTAGATAATTTAAGTTATTAGGCTACTCAGTTGTAATGGTGTGCAAAGAGTTTTAGACTCAAAAGAATAACTTTAAAATGTGTTTCTCAGCTGATTTCATTTTGAAAGCATCAATAAAAATCTTGACCAGATAACCTGAACTGTATTATAGTTACAAGGAAATACATTTTATCTACCTTCTCGCCCCCAAAAACCTGCTAGGTTTTGCTTTAGATTTCTAAGACCAAGCTAATAAATGTGTAAATTAAGTGAGGATACTGCTAAGTTATTTCCAAGACAATCAAAAAGAGAACATGATAACTTTATTGAGTATATGGAGGCACTGAGAATGTATGGCTAGTAAAGAATACTCTTATAAATGGGCCATGAGGGAAATTAGCAGGATCAAGCGATGACATTTTTGAAAACCTCATTTAAATTTCCTATGGCAAAGAAAAAAAAGCTATTTCAAGCAGACTTCAAGCTGCATTAACTGAAACAGTATTTTAGTGTTATGGCAGATGACTTCTGAGTGAAATATATCTTCATATTTCCCCCACACTTTTATGATTTACACTCCTTAAAACTTGCATAGGCTGACATAATTTATAATTTAATTTAACTGAAGTATTATAAGTCCCATAGCTCAGTAAGCTTCACAACTGCTAATTGGGATAATAGGAAATTACTTGTCTTCTCCTAAATGCCAGTGAAGTAGGTCAGGATAATTAATATGCAAGCTGACTTTTCAGTCAAAGGAAAACAAGACAAGTCTCATCTGTGTACTTTTAGTACCATCCATTTTAGACTAAAATGAGTTCAACCTGAGAAAAAAATCAGTATGACTCAAATGAATTTCAAAAGAAGACAAAAGGTAGTCCAATCACGAGAATACACTGACGTCTGTTCTAAAGAAGGCTAAATTCACACTTCATAAGCAGGACCAAATTGAACATATAGGTCACAGATTTAGGTACACCTCGCTTTTTAGATTGCTTTGAAAACTCATAAACACTGTATAATGTATGTTATATAAAGTTAAAATAAATATAAATGATAAAAAGGGGGTTGGTTGATGACATAATTCTTTACCTTTAAAGCAGAAAATAGACTGCATTTTCATGTTTTCTTCCATTATTCTTTCTGCCTACACTCCTGACACTTCCTGTTTTTGACTTCTTGGCACCTAAGAAAAATGTTTGGAGCTGGAGACTTGAAACTTAGTTCCTCTGCAGGTCTGTACCTGATTAGTGTTAATTTACTTTAGTAGAATGCTGGCCTCGAGCAGGACAGTTAGAAACAAATGGCTTTTGAACTTTGATTCTAACAAGCATGGTTGCCTGCTGACCTGTGCAGTACATACTGAGTGCTCTGTATTGGAGGGTGTGCCATACATCTGAGGCTGATGGAATGGCCATGGCTTCTTCCCCTGGAATGAGTTTTACTCTGTTATTAAAACACCAAGCAGCTTGGTTTGAATAAGCGGCCTAAAATATTTACTCCTACTGGTCAGCCCAGGGCAGTGATGAACATGACACCCCCTATGTATACCTTAGAGATTCTTTTGAAAACACGGATTTTATAGATGACATTTCCCAACTGAAGCACTCGTCAAATTGTATACTTCTAAATATTTCAAATAGTAATACAAAAAAGCATCATTAGGGAGGCAGATATACATTCCATTAAATAAGAAGCACCTTCTATGCAAGCATGAAAAGCAGTGTTCTGTTGAGAACAGTTTGAAGGACACTGAAACATCAAGTGACAAGATTTATGGAAAAATACCAAGACAGAAATGGGGCCCTGAAAGATAATACAAGGCCACCTTTAGTGAAGCAGGGTTGACTGAAGTAGCATGGACTGCCCCACAATATTGAACCAGAAAGTTCAAATGTGTAATACCAAATTTATGGACAGACTTCCTGGGGCTGTTCTGCCTCATCACAATTATTCCACAAAGAGAGAGCCCACTGAAAAAAGATGGAAAGTAGTAGTGAATAACTTCCCACTTAACTTATTTGGGAGCCTGAAGAAGAAAAAGCCACTGACTTACGAGGGTGTCTATATGATTAAAAGAAATCAAATCAACAAACAGCAAAAGAAAAAGAGACACTAGGAGAAACAAAACTGAAAGCCATGCACCTAAAGATGCTCTATGGGCCACTGGAGCCTGATGGAATGGTGACCACAGGGCCTGGGGTTTCCTTTCAGGTTCTAGTCTAGCACATGCTTTCTGCTTTGTAGAACTGAACAAACCTGACATAGTTAGAGTAGTTGTATAGTACCTGGATGACAGTTGAAATGAAGTTTTTAACTCATCTTTAGATAAATTTTACAAAACAACTTAATACTTTAGATAATCATATTAAAAATATATTATCATGTTTGCCAGAACTCCTACAGAGGCCTAACATAGTTCCTAGATATTTTTTCCACAAGACTTCCATAATCTCTAATTAATGTGAATGTTGACAGGGCTTGGCAGGTAACAGATGGTAATTGTCTTTCCTGCACCAACAGTATACCTTTACAATGCTCCTCACAAAGATTATGGCTAAAATGTAATTTATATAGAAGCTGGTTTAACCTATGAATTTTATTGTAAGCAACTCATATTTTGATTATATGAGTCATAATTTAATTCCCATTAAGTAATGCAAGGAAGATCCATACCATTAAAGGAAGTTTACTATATTTTCTTGTTAATAATTGCCAAAGGACCCTCATTTGAAATGAGCCAAACTTAACATTGACAGGAGGCTCTTGGCCAGCTGGTAACCTGTGAGCTTTGACTTGTTTTCAGTTGTAATGAAGTACTTCCACAAATTTACCCTGTAATCAAAGTCTCATATACTCACAAAATGGGATGAAGGGTCCAGTCTGTTTGCATTATTAAAAAATACTGGTATAATGCCCTAGCAGGGCCAAACCAGGAACTGTGTTTCCAGCAACATTAGCTCAAGTCATTTGCACTAACTGACCTAGACCTTATTTTGAATAAAGAGATATAAACAGTTTTATCCTAATTCTTCTATACATTATTTTTGTATTTAACATTCAACATTTATAGGCAGACCTAGATTTTCTTTTTAAATAAAATAACTGAATTATAATTGCTTCCTTAAGCTAGCCTGGGTTTCTGAACTGGTATATCACATTGGTTATAAAGAGCTGCTTGGTATGGCATGGTGGATAAAGAACTTGATAACTAGTAAACATATTCTTAATTCCAACAAGCTAGAGGGTTAGTTAATTGACTTGTCTTTCTTAAGATTTGATTCCCATAAGTTGAATTTTGTAATCCATATACATACTAAAAAAGTAAATGGATGGTTTCTAGACAATATATTGGGGTATTTGAAGTTGGTAGAAATATTACATGAATTTTCTTCTTGGAAAAACTCTGGGAATTTTAAGTTGTATATGTGTCCGTGTGTGTGTGTGTGTGTGTGTGTGTGTGTGTGTGTGTGTATTCACTTACTTTTCAACCAAGGTTCTGCTAACACCCTCCTTGAAAGCATATATAGTTTCTTAACCCAAACTCAGGGGGTAATAATTGTTGACCAAAGGGATGATGTATGCAAGTGAGAAGAAAGTGGCTAAGAGGAGGGAGAAAAGGAAATGAATAGCATTAACCTTAAAAGGCTAATGGGTAATTGGAGGGAAAAGTTATTTGCTCTAGCTATGGGTATCCTGGGATAGAAGTTTCATTACTCATCTTTTTCCCCAAGTTACTTAAGTTCTGAAAGTAGGATGCCAAGGGATAGCTAACTTCCTATGCAGCAAGACCATTATTTTAAGAGAAAAAGAGAAACAAAATTCTATATTTTTAAAATAAGAAGTCTGAAAAGGTTAGGACTCTGTGTACACAGGCTAAGAATCTCCATCAATATACTTACTTTTGTCTCCTATGTTTTCCCCTGCTGCCTCCCCTTCCTCCTCCTCCTCCTCCTCCTCCTCCTCCTCTTCCTCCACCTCTGGGGGCTGCACGTCATCCTGCGGGTCACAGGCACTAACCGGCGCATTCAGACAGCAGTGGTTGAACCCGCTATCTCGAGGCAGAGTAAAACTTCGAGGCTTGCCCCCATTTCCATTTAACACTTGCATCCTGTCGCTCTCGGCTAATGGGTAAGGCCCATAGTGATCCTGTAGGTGGCATTTCTGAGTCGGAAGGGTGGACTGCCGCCTGTGCTCTGGGGATATGGCCGCGGAGTCAGAGAAGACAGAATCCTCCAGGGGCAGAGTCTGAAGATAGTGTAATCCAGAGCTTGTCAGGGGCGTCTCAATTAAATCCTGCCAGGAGCGGCGCTGGCTGGCTGTCTTGCGAATGGGGGACACTGCACTGCTCCCAGTCACTTCCTGACGAAACTCCTCATGAGAAGACTGAGACTGAGAGGTCTCTGTGGAGGACAGCCGGCTGTGTTTTGCTTCCACATAAGGACTGGCACAACTCATCTGTGAAAAGGAGCCTCTGATGAACCTCTACAGAAATAAAGGGCCACTTCTAGCACTAAGAAACATTTAATTTCCACCTGGTAACATTTGCTAGTTGAGAGTTAATGACTAGTCAAGTTTTCAAGTATCTCAAAGTTAGGCCCCAGCTGACATTTTATGAGATTGAGATACAGATGTATTGAAATGCAGCTATACCAGGTCCTCATGAAAAATCTCACATCTTAATACAGATGTTTACAACAACAAAGTACAAGAAAATGTGAGCACTTATGTAAGAACTATCCAGGAACTAAACAAATAATTGTAGGTTTTTAAATCTGTACTTAATTGAAATCCTGAAGTTGCCAAATTCCTGTTCCCACAGTTTATGGAGCTTGAGGATGATAGTAAGGAGAGAGAGGCTTTGGGATGTGAAAACAAAATGTCTGTGATCAGACAGAACCCTTCCTGTTTTTCACAGGCAAATTTCTGCTTCTATGGGTGCCAAGGAAAAGCTTCATAGCCTTGTGAATTCCATGGCGTTTTTTAGAGACTTAAAAATGTAGGTAGCATGAGATAATAGCCTGATGGGGATTAGCATTTGCTTTAAGTACAGGCACTTCAGAGTATATAAACACAAAAGAAATATGGAATATATTTATCTCTGGAATTTAAATCTTGGAAATATACGTTACAGTGAAAAGCACAACCAAGCAAAGGGACTACTGGTATGAACTGAATGCTGTAGAAAACTTGCAGCCATCACTCCTGAGACAAGCCTTACTCTTGCATTGGGGGCTAACAGACCAGAGCAAGCTCAGATTAGAAAGCCAGCTCAGGCTCTCTATTGGCAGGAGAAGCCAGATTTGTTCAATGTGATTATCGCAAATGGGGCTGAGGACAAGCCTGGCTGAAGGGAAAGTGCATTCTGCCCCTCCAAGTAAAAGAGAAGTTATGTGGCATTTTCTGTGGGTGGTTTATCTTCTTGCGTGTTAATAACAACATGACTAGTTTCCTTCTTAAAATTCACAGGTTGTTATGAATAAATGGCTGTTTGGTTAAGGTGCACTTTCCCTTTCTTCCTCTTATATAAATATTTTAAAGAAATTGTTCAGACCCTGATGTTTTAGGGAAGATATGATAAAAACTGTATCTTGTCACTGACTTCATTATTTCATTTCTATAGCTTGTCCTTGCATTCTGTCATACTCGGTGACCTTCAGCATTTATAAAAGAAATGTGCATACAGATAGGGACAGTTCTGCAATTTTTCAATTTTTCTCTTATTCTCCTTAGGTAACAGATGTTGTCTTGAAATATTTTATTTAAAATATGGCTTTCCTCTTAGTTATTAGCCAAAAGTACCCACTCATTTATTTAAGAAACATTTATTAAACACTTAATAAGTACGTGCCACTGCTGAACTAGACCAAGAAATGTGTAGATGAATAGACTGCTCAGAAAAAATTCACAATCCAGACCAGCAAGTTGTGCGCAGGCTCGAGTACTCCGATTTAATTTATTTGCACTGGGCCTGAACATCTGCATTTTTAAAACATTTCAGAGGTGATTCTTATCTACAGCCAAAGCTGAGAAGGCCAAGGCCTAGAATTATATCAATATCTCGCACAGCACCTTTCTTATTAAAAATCCCCTGAAATAATATGGAGGTGGAATTAGGTTTGCTGTTGTCACCTAAATCCAGCTTCCATTTTCTATGTGAAAGACTCAGTTCCAAGACAAGCAGAGTTGACTTTCATGGCACCATGACCATGCAATATATTGTCTAAGGTGGAACACTACTCAGATACTCTCACTAATTTCGTTGGGAAATGGGCATAAAGTGAGATAGTCCCAAGTAAATCAGAAGAGTTGTTTACCCTATTAAAAGATCAAAGTATAGTTTGTGCAAAGAATAATTTACCTAAGTTTGAAAGGTCTGGAGTACCATATAAACATGTACCTTAAACCAGACCCTTGACTGTCTCAAAGCTACATGTCAAAACATGGGCAATACAGATATAACCTTTATTTTATGAGTTGATTCTAAAGGATATAGGAATGAACTTTATTAGTATGAAATAGATAAGGTCAATTTATATAGCTTTTTCTGTGAAAACATTTTTCATTGCTCTTTTCACAAAAGCTACTGTGATACAAACAATATGTTTTGTATATTTGCTTAATAAACCCCATCAGATATTTATTATGCATGGAATCTGTGGTTACTATTTCCCTTGATTAAATATTGTTTACATACTTCATATTTGCCACTTGTAGCTTTTAGACTCCCTATTTTCTTTCCCCCTAAGAAACTGAGGGCTGACATGCAATTCAGCACATATCTTTTTTTTTAACAAGCAAAGTGAGGTTGTAGGTCAAGGAATCTGATGCTGTGTTAAGTACATTCCCACTCACAACTTACAGAGGGAGGCCGTGGGTATGTATCATAGGGTGGTGGAGGGCTGTCCTGTTTGGGTGTAGATGGAGTATCTGCTTCTTCCTTGTCACTCTCACTCCAGTAATCTGAAAGTTCACACATATGGACACATCAACATTCTGTTAATGTTTCTAGACATATTTTCAAGAACATATAATACCAGCTAACAAAAGGAAATTTAAATTCCACTCCTACACCCTGCTTCCCAGTACCCACTATCCCAGGCCCACCAATTTTTATTTTCAGCTAGGTCTTGAGGATGATGGAAGTGTACAAATACCCAATTTCACCCCCTTTTTAAGGCAAGAAATTATATATGACCACAATTTTAAAGAGTTAAGAAAAAGACACTGCATAAGCCAAAGCAAGTTTAGGGTGTTTGAGGTTCCAGAGCAAATTATCTGCAGCTTCAATTAATGAATGATGTCACATGATGCCGCTTCAAGATGTATCATTTTATCCTGAAGAAAAACAATGAATATATTGCTGTAGATGCCTACAGATATAAACACTTCCAAAAATAATGTCCTCAATTCTCTTTTTTGGCTTCAATTCACTAGTTATCTAACAATCACTGTTTCTAGAGTCATGCTGGCATAAATCTCTGTAACACCATACTCCCACCTCTACTTTGAAACACATGGCAAATCTGAATTTTGCCAACTGTAAAAGGGCATATCTGCTGATGTGGGCTGCAAGTCACAAACTTCTAAAGATACCTTAAAGGGTAGAAAATGTAAGCTGCTAGACAAACTGACTTGGCTGATCAGGCAAGACGAAAGGGGAAAAACCCTGAGAGATACATAAGATGAGTAAATAAAATACAGTAAAAAGGCCAATACTCAGAATCTGTTCCACTAATAATACTTCAAGTACCCTATCACTGCTGGGTTAATTCTTTGTGTTATTTACATGGCAAAAGCCAGAAGTGTTATACATATTCATTTCAGATTATAAAAGAAGAGAAAAGGTATTAAAACAAAAGTTTCCTTATTATTATGAAAATCTAAATCAGAAAAGAACCATCAGAAAGCTTAACTAATATTGAGATTTTGGTGAAAAAACCATGGCATATATATTTTTCAAGACCCCCCTCCACCCAGAAATTCCCATATTGTACTATTTCTATGTATTTTCTTTGTGCTGCTGATCAATATTAATAAGTACAGCTAAAATATATTAGGGATTTTAACTATATGCCGAATAGAAATTAGCAGAAGTAGATTTTGAACTAAGAGCTTGTGTTGCTCTAAATCTCAGAGGGCTATGTCACTGGGACTCTTTTGTAATGACACAGGGGGAATGTTTAATGTCACATATATCCAGAATCCTTTAAAATTTTTTTATTGATTATGCCATTACAGTTGTTCTATTCCCCCCTTCATTCCCCTCCATCCTGCACACCCCTCCCCCACCATTTACCCCCCTTTCGTTTATGCCCACGTGTCTCAAGTTCTTTAGATTCTATATTTCCCCTACTATTCTTGCCCTCCCCCCTACCTATTTTCTATCTACTGTCTATGCTACTTATTTTCTGTACCTTCTCCCCCCTTCTCCTCCTCCCACTCCCCTGTTGCTAACCCTCCATGTGATCTTCATTTCTATGCTTCACTTCTGATCTAGCTGTCCTTTTAGTTTGCTTTTGTTTTAGGTGTGGTTGTTGATAACTGTGAGTTTGCTGTCCTTTCACTGTTCATCTTTTTTATCTTCTTTTTCGTAGGTAAGTCCCTTTAACATTTCATATAATAAGGGCTTGGTGATGATGAACTCCTTGAATTTGATCTTATCTGAGAAGCACTTTATCTGTCCTTCCATTCTAAATGAAAGTTTCACTGGATAGAGCAATCTTGGTTGTAGGTCTTTGGATTTCATGACTTGGAATACGTCTTTCCAGCCCCTTCTTGCCTATAAGGTCTCTTTTGAGAAATCAGCTGACAATCTGATGGGAACTCCTTTGTAGGTGACTGTCCCCTTATCTCTTGCTGTTTCTAGGATTCTCTCCTTCATTTTAATTTTGGCTAATGTAATGATGATGTGCCTTGGTGTGTTCGTTCTTGGGTCCAACTTCTTAGGGACTCTGTGCTTCCTGAATTTCCTGGAAGTCTATTTTCTTTGCCAGATTGGGGAAATTCTCCTTTGTTATTTGTTCAAATAAGTGTTCCATTTGTTGCTCTTCCTCTTCCCCTTCTGGTACCCCTATAATTCAGGTGTTGGAGCGTTTAGAGATGTCTTGGAGGTTCCTAAGCCTCTCTTCATTTTTTTGAATTCTTGTTTCTTCATATTTTTCTGTTTGGTCATTTTTTAATTCCTTCTGGTCCACTCCCTTGATTTGAGTCCCAGTTTCCTTTCCATTACTATTGGTTTACTGTGGATTTCCTTTCATTTTAATTAGTTTAGCATTCATATGTTCCTCTAATTTGTGACTAAAATCACCAGGTCTGTGAGCATCCTGATCACCAGTGTTTTGAACTTTGCATCTGATAGGTTGGCAATTTCTTGGTCACTTAGAGTTACCAGCTCTGGGTCTTTGAGTTCTTCTTGAGCCATGTTTTGGTCTGTTGTGCTTGTTACATATGAGGAGCGGAGCCTTAGGTGTTCACCAGGGTGGGGCCACCCAGGTTGCTGGGTTGTGACGCTGTATGTGGGGGCGGGGTCAAAGAGGGGCACTAGTGATGCCCTCTGCTGCTTCCCTCCTCTGGGGCCTGCGCGGTCTGTCTCACTGCTCGCTCCTTTGCTGGTTTATCTGCACGTGAATGTGAGACCGAGGTCAGCCTGCCATCTTGCACCCTCTCTGGGTCCGCCTGTCGCTACCCCACACCTGGGATCCACCCATGGCTGCCTTCGTGCTTGGGTTGGTCCAGGGGATCTTTCCTGCCCGACCTTGCTCTTCTGCTGGCTTTGCCCCTCTTACCGGTCTGTCTGAATGGTTTGTTATTGTTGGACTTCCGTGTAGTTCAATTTAATGTGGTTTGGCTGTGTTTTTGTTGCTAAAACTTTGTTTTTAAAATTGGTTGTGCAAGAAGGTACAGTGTTTCCACCTATGCCTCCATCTTGGTGGAAGTTCTTACATATATCCACAATCCTTTAAGCCCCCTCTTTCTGCTGTTCTGTAACTCTGGCTATTGTGAATAGAAATTCCTTAGCAATGGAGGTTATTATATTTAGGCCTAAAAATACAAGGACTCTGGAAATTCTATTTCTAATGTAATTGTTCCCTTTGAGTAAACCATAAGCAAAGACTAGTTAGTACAAATTTGATGTCTGGTTTTTACATTGGATCAAGCCGGTGATGGCTAGTATATTAAGCCTCCTGCAAATGTGAACTGACATAGTTGCCCAGACCAGAGATGGACCCAGCAAACACTGGTAAGAAAAGCATGAGCAATATACTCAAACAGATGTAGGTTCAATTCTTGGCCATGACACTTAATCATTTATATGCTTGTGATGGTTACTTAACCTCTCTGAGTCTGTTTTGTCATCTATAAAAGGGAGCTAACAATAACTGCCTTTCAGAGTTGTGTGTATGCGAAGGTACTAAATAAGGTAACATATATCAAGAGACTTTGCTCTGGTCTGTGTGGCTCAGTGGTTTGGAGCACTGTCCCATAAACAGAAAGGTTGTTGATTTGATTCCCAGTCAGGGCACATGCAACAAATAGCAACTCATTGACGTTTCTCACTCACATTGATGTTTTTCTCCCTCCCTTCCCCTCTCTCTAAAATCAATAAGCATGTCCTTAGGTGAGGATTAAAAAATAAATTTTAAAAAGAGACTCTGCACCTTGAAATCACTCAATAAATATTAGTTAGGAGCCCTGGTCCTCTTTGTAGGTAGCATGCCAAGACAGTCTGACCCAGCTCACATAGGACATAAATGCCTGGTGTTCAAACTTCTCACACATTAGTTTTTTTCTTATAGCAATTTCTAGCAATGAAAAGTGAATTCTTGAGCTCTGGGGCCTGCAATGAGTACTTTTGTGGAAACTTGAAATACTATTGGGAAGTCACTGCTGAAGGTGAAGGGATTGAGCTTGCCGAGATCACTCTGTTTTTACCTTTCCTACTATTCCCAGAAACTGGCACCTCTGTTGAGCTTCTCTTTTACCTTTGCATTAATACCTTGGGGTCTCAAGGAGTCAGCACCTCTAGTGGTCCTTATTGGCACATGGAAAAGGAAATGATCACCATTGTACCAAGGTTTCTATAGCTATCACTACAAGCGACATATTTGGGAGAGTCTTTTTCTCCTTTTTTTCCTAAGCTAAATTAGAAACAATTTTAGCTCACTATCTGATGTAATTCTTAGTCTATTAAAAAGCACCACCAATCTAAAGTTTTCTTGGGTTGCCTAAGAAAAGACTGAAATGTCACTTTGCAGATTAATTTCATTGCTCATACTAAGCTGTGTGTCTTTGAGAGAGCAGTGCTAGAGAACAGGCTCCGCAGAAAATTTAGTCAGGCTTTTTTGGGTTCATGTGGAAAATTACAAGCATATTGTTGCTCAGAAGCTGAAACCAGTCTGATTTTCATTCTAAGAGCAAATTAATTTTTTAGCTCTCTATTTAGAGAAAAATAAATGGATACTTTGAATGTCTCTTATAGTGAATTCAATTTTATAAGTAACTAATTATGAATAAACAGTGCCATCAATAGAACAGGAAAATTTCCACTTCTCATTTTGATACAAAAGTTAATTTGAAAAGAATTGACTTTTTCATCTAGAACTACCAAGTAAACACAATATATTTCATTCATTTTTATGTAATTAAAGCTCTAAAAAGACGTAATATGTGATTGAAAATAATGTTATGAATGTCTGACTTGAAGCTGGAAAGATATAGAAAAATGACTAGCAGATAATTAGCCAAATTGTGATCTTGGTGTAATTTAATATAACCCTGTTTTCTCTAAGTACAATGATGAATAATGAAAGAGAACCTCACATTCTTTATATTTCTGTAGTTAATGACAGTAATTCATTAAACTTTTACTTAAGTCAATGGAAGAGTCACTTCTAAGTTGCACTGAGCATTTAAATAGATAACAGTGTTTTGCAATTATTCCTTTGCATAATTATGACATATTCCCAATCCTCAAACAGCTATATTTTGAATAAACTTAAACTTTGGTACTCAAAAGTATCAAATAACTTTAAAGAAGTATGGTTTAGACACACATATTCACTAGTTTTCTATATAGAATACTATGAGACCTACTCATGCAAAGGTAGGAGGTCTATGCTTCTGATCTATGTTAGAGTACCTGAGGAATGTACACTCTAGGTAGAAATCCTAATTATTTCAGATTCCAGTTGTACTATATTAACAAGAGAGATTTGAGTTGTAACTATTACCTTCTGGCTTATGATTGTCTACCATACTCCAGTAGACACTAAAATATTTACTCACACAAGAGAACAGGGCAGCAGGAATCCATGGAATGAATACTTTTTAGAGCCTGCATGTATAATACAACTTACCAGTTCTTTCATCCCTAATGAAATTTGGTCATATATACAAAATACAAAGGAAAAATCACTAAATCAAGAACATGCTCAACTTCAAAGTAATGCCTAGTGATAAAATATAGAAGTTAAGCCTAGAACTCTAGCCCTCCATATTCACACAAATTGACTTTTTTTAAAGATTTATTTTCCCATCAGTACATTGACCATACTTCTCATTCTTACATCTTAAAAAGATAAGAAGTAAATCTGTATGTACCTTCAAAGAACAGTTTTTTGCCTTTTAAAGAAATTTGAAAAGGAAGGCTTGCATTTTTTAGCATTCTCACCACAATTATAGGCCTATAAATTAAGTTGAAGCATGAAGGTGGGGAGTAAACATTTTTAAAATTTACTTCAATTTGTATTTTTTGAATTTATTGAATGACATTGCTTAAAAAATTACATAGGTTTCAGGTGTACATTTCTACAATATATCCTCTGTATGCTGTATTGTGTATTCACCACCCCCAAGTGAAGTGTTCTTCCATCATCATTTATCCCCTTTTTACCCTCTTCTACTTCTCCCACTCCCCTTGCCCCCTGGTAATCACCACACTGTTGTCTGTGTGGAATAAACTTTTAACAATGAAGTAAGTGGCTCATTAAGTGGCCTGACATTCATAGTCTGGCTGGGGTTTGCCTGTGCACACTGATTTAATTAAGATGGCTTCCACGTTATTTGTGGAAGTATCCATGCTGGTTCCACCACAGGAATGTTTTATTTTGTTACTTCCTTGACTCCACATTTTTCTCATCCTGTGCGAACCTTAGATAATTGAGCAAACATAAAGCCTTTCCCCACTCTACATCTGGAAGGAATCTCTCCATTCTCAAACCCATGAACCTTGATTTGTACCTCCTTACATTCCACTTTCCGTATTTTACTAAGAGTATATTTTCCACTAAAATTTAACATAACTTCAGGTAGGACAGGTACTTATTTTGACTTGATATAATTAGAGTGCTAGCTGAAGGCCTTACATAGAAATACTTATTATTGGATCAAATATCTTCTCTCTCTCTCCATTGCTGACTTTATGTGAGGCTCACTGATCACTTTCTCCAGCAAGTGTTTCTTCATTAATACTGTCTCTCAAGCTTTAAAAAAAACATCAAGCTTTAAAAAAAATGCACCTACTTAGTAAATTTTTAAAATCAGTTTCACATTATACAAAAATTACTACTGATTTACTTTATGCTGCTCTTTAATTTTTCTTAAGCAATTTCAAGTGTATTTTTGAGATCCTCAACAAGATGATGAATTCCCATTGGCAGGAAACATGTTTAGCTATTTCTTTGAAATTTCCTGCCCTATCTCCTCACCCTGAACCTCTCCACCTACCTCTCCATTCACTCACCCTATGGCCAGAGCTTTGTAAATTATGGCCTGCAGGCCAATGAGGCACTCTGCATGTTTTTATAGGGCCTGTGAATCAAGAATGGTTATTACATTTTTCAATGGTTAAAAAAGGAAAAGAAGAATATTTTTAAAAAAATGATATGAAATCAAATCCTGGCATCCATAAATAAAGCTTGATTGGACCTCAGCTGTGCCTCTTTACGAGTTCAGAGTTGTTTTCCTGCTGCAACAGCAGAGTTGAGTAGTTGCAACAGAACCCTTATGGCCTGCAAAGCCTAAAAAATTTACTATTTGGCTCTATACAGAAAGTTTGCTGACCCCAATAAACATTTGCTGACAAATCAGTTTTAGGATCCGGTTATTTCCTTTAGCTCTCTCTAACCTTTAGTTTTTAGATGTTTTAAAAAGCTTTGGCTGTGGTTTATACTATGAGAGGAAACAGAAGGATTTTAGAATCTCCATATCAACAGACACGTTATGCCCACTGGATACACAACTATGTTTGTATGTGTATCAATTTGTGAAATTCTTTCAACTTTAGGTCTCAAAATTTTTCAAAAAACTATTCATACTTCCAAGTGATGTACAGTAAAAACTCTTTGGGAAATGTGACGCCACTTCAGAATGGTGACCACAGCTTTTGTTCAGATTTTAATTCTGCATCATGATACTGTTTTTCATAAATCTGAGGTCAATACCAAGGCAAGTTCCATAAACAGTTACATAGTAATAGAATTAAAAATCAAAACAAAATAAGATAATTTATTGAGGAAGGGATCTTTCATTTGAGCTCTTAGCATAAAAGGCTACTTAAATGTCTATGAGACTACTAAAGAGAAAAAAACAACTCACCACCAAGGACCTAGAATTGGGTCAATATATAGAACCAATTAAAGACTTTCAAGTTTTTGAGATTTTTTTACTCCCATAGGAAAAAGACTGAGGGAGTTGGCAACAAACACAAGAAAACTTCACATTAGCTGTTCCAAAAAATTTGAGTTTATTCCCTATCTGTTTAATTTATTAAACTTTACCTATAAGATACTATGGTTTGTATCCGGAGTACCCAGATGACAAATAACCATAAACTAACACATGCATTTTCTCTCAAGTGATAACAGTAAATCACTGTATAAAATAACAACAAGAAAAAAGAAGTATAACACAATTATAAAAAAAGTATTCTTCCCTGGATGGTGTAGTTCAGTGGATTGAGTGCTGGCCTGCCAACCAAAGTGTCTCCAGTTTGACTCCTACTCAGGGCACAGGCCTGGGTTGCAGGCCAGGTGTTCAGTAGGAGGGAGTTCAAGAGGCAACCACACATTGATGTTTCTCTCCCTTTCTCCCTCCTTTCCCCTCTTAAAAATAAATAAATAAAATCTTTTAAAAAAGTATTATTTTACCTTGTTCTTGCTTAATCCTCTCTCTTTCTGCATAACCTGCAGTCAGCATATTAATTCTGTTAAGCCATCTAAAAAAACCAAATATTAAAATCAGAAACATTGCAACATAATTTCTTATACTTCTTAGAAATATCTATTTTTAATATGCCTAAGAATATATGAATAATCCTACATAAAAATTGTGTTCTTTGCTACTCTTGGCACATGGAGACTCCAATGAGCTAAAATTTGCTGTATTAAAAATTGCTCCCACACCAAAAAGTATCTATTTTAATAGAAAAGTCTTGGGCAAACCTGTTAACATCTGTAACATAAAGGGTTTGAGATGGACAAAACCCTATAAACTCTATTATTCCAATGTAGAAGCATTCCAACTAGTTCTGTTGTTTTATTTCTTCAGAACAAATGCTCCTTTAGAGATATTTAAATAATATCAGATATAATTTGTCCTGATAAGGGAAAAGGTTGTGGACCTTGCCTGCCAAATAAGTTTTATCATGAAATACTAGTGCTGATGAGGCTATTTTAAGTTTAATGATCCACATAGAAACACATCTTGGGAGTACTTAGGAAATTTGTCTGTAAATACAAGGGTATTAGGTTTTCCAAAGACAAAACAAGCATATACAAATTTAACCTCTGTTGAGATCCCCAAAATTTATCTCCATGAACAACAGTAACTTAAAAATAAATCTTAGTTCTCCCCTCTTTGAGAAGTGCTGTTTTCATCAATATTTGGGACCGCCTGAAGTAAACCCCTGTTTCAATCTCCATCTTTTGTAACACCGGGTCTTTCCCTGTGCTCATTATTTCAACTGTTTCTACTACATGACGTTGATAAGTCACAAAATCTTTAAACTGATTTGATAATTTCCCATTGCTCAGTATGACCTATGACCCATATACTTTCCAAAATCAGATATTAAGGAATATCTGATTCTAAATAGATATAAAAAGCTAGTTCACTTTCTAAACTAGCTTGAGTAAGTTTGGAACCACTAATATAGTTAACATCATTCAAGTGTGTAATAAGCTTATTGAGATGCATTTTTTAAAGAAAAGGTTGTGTTTGAGAACTTTTTCTCCAAAGAGCTTAGCTCGTCTGTTAAATGGAAGATGACATTCTTTGAAATGACTCATATGTTTCATCATTTATGCCAGCTGGTGTTAACTGTGCATCAGATACTTAGAATATCTTGAAAAGGGAGGAAAGTTGTGTCTCTAATAAGCAAAAATCACATCCATGGAAATTGAAGCTTTTTTTTTAAAGAGTAAGTCACTTAAAGCCAAATTTTATTTTGAGGAAATTTATTATGTTATTATTGCCTTAAGTATGTTTGGGAGGTGAAGAAGAGACTGGAGCCAATGGAATCAAATAAAGATTGATAGAATGAATTCAGTACCATGGTATATACACACACAGTTCAGAAAATTATAAACTATAAGTCAAAATGTGAACATCATGACAAATAACCTTTTAAAATGACTTAATCATTAGTAAAAGGTCAAAATTAAAACTAGTCAGTAGGTCATCTGTAGTAACTAAGGGTTTGAATTTGTACTACAAGGCAAATCTTAGCACTCTAGAGAAAGAATGCTATGGTTCCTTTTGGATGAAAATAATGATAACAGTATGAGAGGACTATTTATTATTTAGTTTTAATTCAATACACCATATTTACTAATTTTAAAAATATCACTAAAATTTCATTTTATCAGACATCCAAAGTACAATGAGGTCTTGATGAAATGAGTCAGGAAACTAAAGAAGTGGCTTCCTTATTTTTCAATTCAACAACATTTATTAAGTATCTACTATCTGTTGAATAATGAGTCATGTTTTGGGGGTACAAAATGAATGACATAAGTTGAGCCTTCAGTGAGCTACAGAATTGCTAAATTTCATAAGACAATTGGAAACTTAAACTACTTTTATGAAGAAAAATCTGTTCATACTAAACACTCTTTAGAAAAGTGTGTAGATATACTCAGGGCACTGCACATAGGCATGATAAACTGAGCAGTATGCAAATGTTGGTGCAGTATTAAACTTGTCCTTAAGACCTCATCTAGAAGATGCTAACCTATATACACTTGCTGTAGTTATGATTTGGTATTTATAGGCTCTTATGAACAGCACATATATATTCATTAAGTAAATCAAGAAATGTTTATTCAGGGCCTATGTGTGCCAGGTATTGCTTAGGCACTGAGGAAACAGATAACAAAATAAAGCATTTGCTTTCATGATGTTTATATCTTAAGAGGGAGACAGACAATAAGCAGGGATACAAATAAACCTATGTTAAGTAGTAGCAAGTATATTAAAAAACAAGGTAAAAAATAGAATGGTAAAGGTGCCAGGGATCGAAAGAGGCTGTTTTAAAATAAGGTGGTCTGGGTACAATGCTGAATTTAGGATATTTTCAAACATTGATGGGGATGTTCTTTATATTAGGTCTAAATTCAGTCAGTAACTTATTGTATTACCAATTCATTAAAACGGGAAGATATAGGTAAGGGGATATTAGACCCTCACTGAGCAATCCAATGAGGTTGTCAATAAGTGACAGAGAATACTGTATTGAGAAAAAAAAAAGAATATGAACCATGGGAAAAATGTAGAAATAATAATCACCAAATAGAAGTTAATGAGCCCTCTCAAGTACAAGGGCATATGTGCTGACATGAGGAGAAATATATAAGCCAAATGAATTCAGTTAAGAAGTCTCAAAACTGAGAAACATGATGATTCGTTTTATTTCCACAGATCTCACACAAAGTGGAAAATTTAAAAAAATGTTTCAATACTCATTTCTAAGGAGGGAAGAGATGGATGGTGGTGGGGTGCTTAAAAGTATTTTTGCAAATTATCTCACAATCAAATTTATCTTGATCAAAACACAAAAGGTGAGATTTTAATATTCAATGAGTATATATATGAGGTCTGTCCAGAAAAAGTCCAGCCATTGTTAATAAAACAAGATTGGTTTGTGTGACATTGATGTAATCTGGCAGCCATGGTGAGTGGACTGGAATGCACATGCATGAACAAAGATGACTTCACTGAACTAGTCATTGGGGGCAGTAGATACTGTTGAGTGAGCATGTGTACTGTATGGCAATCACATTCAAAATGACTGAGTAAGTAGAACAATGATATTACCTCATATTTTGTGTTAAGTTTGAACATTCCTCTGATGAAACTATTCTGATGATTCAGAAGGCTGTATCTATGGGCAATTGGTGATTGGCAGCTTCATCATGATAATGTGCCCACTCATGTATCATGTCTTATGCAGAGTTTTTTGGAAAAACATCAAATCTCCCAGGTGACTCAGCATCACTACAGCCCAGATTTGGCACCCTGTGATTTCTGGCTTTTCCCAAAACTAAAATCACCTTTGAAAGGGAAGAGATTTCAGATCATTGATGAGATTAAGGAAAATATAACAAGGCCTCTGATGGTGACTGGGAGAACTGTGTGAGGTCCCAAGGTGCCTACTTTGAAGAAGACTGAGGCATCATTGTCCTATGTACAATGTTTCTTGTATCTTTTATCCTCTTCAGTAAATGTCTCTATTTTTCATATCACATGGCTGGATACTTTCTGGACAGACCTTTGTGTGTATATACATGCATTTGGGTATATGTGTACATAAGTATATATGACTATATGTGTATGTGTGTGCGTGTATATGTGTGTGTAGATATACACAGAGATTTTATAGATGAAAATTAAGGATTACTTTTTCATTCCAACTACTAGATCCTAACACAAATAGCACTATATATTTTAAATACATATGATAATGCTTTAGAAATTATTAAGTAAGATAAAGCATATATTTACTATAATTATGTAATTAATAATTATTATACATATATCATCTCTTGAAGACTTAGGTACGTGCCTTTAAAAGAGTACATATAGAATGAACAAACGAAGCAACACCCAAGTCATCTTGTTGTTATGTGACAATTAATTTATTGAATAAAGTTGTTGGAGGGTGTCTTTCCCCATCACTAATCTTTTGTGAATGTTTCTAGTACTGACTCTCCCATTTCTTTAACAAGTAATTTAAAAAAACTTGCCTAATGAAAGTAAACATCAGGAATATGCTTATAAAAAAAGCAAAGCAAAAAGTTTATTATACTTACATATGTAAAAAAGATGCAGTATTTCAGAACAATTTAATTCTGCCTGAAATGTGTGATGTGGAGATACTATATTTGATCAGATTCATTTTTCCTTTGACCCATTGCTTAGAAAAAGTAAAATAATGTAACACATGGGTTTGGTTTAGCTTCTGTGGTATCCTGAAGCAGATACATGCATAGAAGCATTGGGAAGGAGTAGTGACATCACATACTTCTGCAGTTATTGCTAAAACAGGGTAGGGGATGCAGACCAAGAATGACTTTTTAGTTCATAAAAGTGCGTTTTTGAACAGGCCAATTCATATATAAGAATTTGAATAGCCTAAGAGTACCCTGATTAGCATGTATCATGAATGATTAAATTGCACTAAATCTTAGATGTAGGTGACTGTGTTCAAGTGTATCCATCCTGTAACATAGGATATTTTCTTATACACTGCTTATTTTCAGTTTGGTCATAATGTAAACCCTTCATATTTATTCCAAGGGCATTGAGCTCAACAAATGGTAAGATGGATAGTGAGTAACTAGAAAAGTAGAAGACAGAACTATAAAAACAAAAACTAAAATAACACAGCCCCATCCCCATGTCATGTGAACAAGAAGAAAGAATGGTAACATATTAATCAAGACAATATTATGGAAACTACATGGAAGGCTCATTTCTTTTATCAATAATAAAATATTTTTATCAACTATCCTTAACATCTTTCCTTGATATTTCCTTGTACTCATAGACTTGCTTTGGAAAAACCATGTTGTATTTTCAAGTGTCAAAGAACAATATTAATGAGACTCTAAATTATACTCCCTAAAATAAAGAAAAATTGACAGATGGAAAAGAAAGCACATTAAGTGTTCATTTATTGTGTTAAACTGAATTTATGAAGCTGCACAACGTTATGGTTAAAATATTTGGGTACTAATTTTTTTGAGATACACAAAGAAAGGTATGTAAAGTAAGAGCTCAAAGTATATAAAAGGCATCTATATGCTAGCAAACACTTTATAGCACTTACAGTGTAGGAGGCCTTTATGTGTGCTTATCTGCTCCTCACAAAAGTCCTATGGGTGAAGATGGTTATTATCTCCATTTTAATTTTTAATTAATTAACTAATTAATTAATTTTATTATCTCCACTTTTATCGGCAGGTTATGTATGTAATATACTGTGTCTAGCGAAGACCTATAAAAGGGAAAATTTTGCATCTTGAATATAATTTTTAGAAATCTAGAAAAGGGAGAAGGGAAAGAAAGGAAAGGAAGAAAGGATCACATTCATAAGCTAAAGTATAAGCACAAATCAGAATTTTGCAAATGATAGAAAATATACATAGAGAGATATTCTCAGAGCCACCAAATAACCATGTGGCCATCTAATCATTTGGCTATACAATGGTGTCTAGAGACACAAGAAAAGTGACAGAAAGAAATACTAACTTTGCTTAGGTCTGAATTATTGAGATGGGTGTTCTGTCATCAATACTCAGCTGGAAAAAATCAGCTTTTTTGTGGGTATCTTTTCTTCCCCATATGAAAATAAATTTGAAGACATTTTCTTGAACCTTTAAAAAAACCTTTCTTTTAGTTTGTGGGTTTTTCTGGGGGGTCTATATATGGATTCTGGCACATTTTTGGTAAACTTGACGTCAATGAGTTTACTTTGATTTTTTAAAATGCTGTTCTTTAAAATTATGTATGGCTACATTTTATTTTAAACTGATCAATCTAGAAACTTCAGTGACATTCTCTAGGCATTAATGTAAAGTATGTATTAACTTTCTAAGTACTTCAAAATTTAAGTACACTTTACCTGTTCATATCATCAAGATGCTCGGCAGCAAAATAAAAGCTTTTGATTTTAGGATGACAGGCTTTGAATGCACTGCAAAAGAAAAAAATGCATTTATTTTATTGCAAATTGGGAAATAGATTAGAATGAAATCATTTTTATGGGTAAAACTACCTGAACCTGAGTTCACACACATAATGCTTCTGCCATAATGACAGAAATCAGTAAAAAAATCCAATTTTCTGCCCACAAAATGCTTTCTTATTACCTCAATTTGAAAGCATTAGACAAGTAACCTACAATTTAAAGCTAGAAAAAATTTTAAAGTATTCCCTTTTATCCCCCCCCCCCCAAATAAAATCAACTTACTATTTCTTGCGGCATTCACTGGCTCTATCAATTTTAAATTCAGGCAGACTGATGAATCCTTCTGCTTTTTCATCCTAAAGAAGTAACACTCTTGTTTAGGATATTATGTAAAATGGTTTGAAGCTCGTACTATATAATTAATGCTTTAAATATCTATACTAGTAAATGTGTCCATTCATTCCTTAAATATGACATTTTAGAGATTAAAATTCCACTTTATTGGCTATATTTCATTAAATTGAAGGTATATTTTGAATATTTAGAGTAACACAAATGAAAATATGTATAGAAAAATCCTTTCTACATTAAAATGTTGATAGAAAATTCTTTAATTCTCAAAGTGAAACATGTTTTGTAATTTTCTTTTTTTAAAATATATTTTATTGATTATGCTATTACAGTTGTCCTATTCCCCCCTTCATTCCCCTCCACACCCCTCCCCCACCATTCCCCCCTTTAGTTTATGTCCATGTGTCTCAAGTTCTTTAGATTCTGTATTTCCCATACTATTCTTGCCCTCCCCCCTAACTATTTTCTACCTACCATCTATGCTACTTATTCTTTGTACCTTCTCTCCCCTTCTCCTCCTCCCACTCCCCTGTTGCTAACCCTCCATGTGATCTTCATTTCTATGGTTCTGCTCCTGATCTAGCTGTCCTCTTAGTTTGCTTTTGTTTTAGGTGTGGTTGTTAATAACTGTGAGCTTGCTGTCCTTTCACTGTTCATATTTTTATCTTCTTTTTCTTAGATAAGAAGTTGGACCCAAGAAGGAACACACCAAGGCACATCATAATTACATTAGCCAAGAAAAATATGAAGGGGAGAATCCTAGAAGCAGCAAGAGATAAGGGGACAGTCACCTACAAAGGAGTTCCCATCAGACTGTCAGCTGATTTCTCAAAAGAGACCTTGCAGGCAAGAAGGGGCTGGAAAGAAGTATTCCAAATCATGAATGAAATCCAAAGACCTACAACCAAGATTGCTCTATCCAGCAAAGCTTTCATTTAGAATGGAAGGACAGATAAAGTGCTTCCAAGATAAGGTCAAATTCAAGGAGTTCATTATCACCAAGCCCTTATTATATGAAATGTTAGAGGGACTTATGCATGTTTTGTAATTTTCTAATCTGAATGTTTATACACTTTTATAACATATAAAATAATTTTAGTCTACATTTGAAATTCACAATTTTCTGTTATTTTTAATGCTTAGATATAATATATAGGGGAGTTTACTATCTCATTTCTTTTCCTGCCTCCAAAATATCTATCAAACCTGAATTAAATAATTATTTTGTATAGTCAAGATTTCACAAATGAAATAGATTATTTTAATCTTCAGATATCTGATTTGGTATATATGCTATATATAAAGGTTACTTTTCACTTAAAATTAAATGAGATAAATAAAATCCTCCTATCTCTAATGAGGGATGAAAAGCAAGATAGAAGAATTATCCAAAATCTTACATTAGATACACATTATGTAAAGTATTCTAAAACTGACTTTAGCTAAATCCTTTCATTATTATTGTCCCTTTCATGCTCATGACCAAGCTCCTCGACCTGTGCTGTACTGATGGCTTCTTATATTTCAAGTTCAAGTGAGATTGAATGCCCATTTGCTAATATCAAAGAGAATACAGAGCCATTATAAATTAATTTACTGTGTGTATGTATATATGTAAAACAACAAAAATTTGATATTCTTTATAGTAGCTAACATGTTTGTGTTATTAAAAACAGTATAATAATTTTTTCAATATATGAGTTTTGTTCTTCCAATCTTAGGGTAAATACAATGGTCTCAAATCTCTTACTCAACTTTGATTTCCCTTGTTACCATGATGCCTTTAATTTAAAATGTTTAAATTTTGAACCATTTAAAACATTGCGGGTGTAGTTATTATGTTCCCATAATGAAGAGATGAGGGACTTTCACATTTAGCCTAAAAATGTCACACTAGGGTATTTTTTGCAATGTATACTGTGGAATTTTTCACTCACCTCTCATAAGGCTAATAGAGTAACAATAACTCTCTGATGGAAACTTTTAGCTAGTATTCAATAAAAAGAGGCCACAGTTTTTTGATCACTTAAACTGTGAAAGATAGAATATAATTTAGCATACAACAGACAAATCTACAAGTGACCTTAAAATAAAAGCAGACAAAGAGAACAGTATATTTTGATAATGCTTGATTGGCATACTAAGTGTATACATACACTAAATGAAAACATAGGTAAAATTATTGTTTGTTTACTACACCTAAAATAAGACACATGATCCCTGATAGGCCTGTGAACTAAAGGTTCATAGGTTTGATTCCCAGTCAGGGTGCATGCCTGGGTTGCAGGCCAGTACCCCAGTAGGGGGTGAGTGAAAGGCAACCACACATTGATGTTTATCTCCTTCTCTTTTGCCCTCCCTTACCCTCTCTCTAAAAATAAATAAATAAATAAGACACATGAAATTATGTGATTGCCAGAAAAAATATCAAAAGTAAATAACCAAATCCTTCTGTATAGGTAATACAGATATTTATATTAAATACTACAATAGTAACTCAATGAAATTAGATGTGAATTTGAAAAATATTACTAATAGTATATGTTTATTGAGTACTTAGTATGTACCAGGCATTGGTATTAAATGCATTATTCATTTTATCCATGTAACAACCCAGTGAGCTAGGTACATTTATTATTCCCTTTTTTGCAGACATGGAAAATGAGGCATAGTACTTCAGGCAGTGTTAAGAATCCTTTCTTAAACATAACCTAACATAAAATAAAATAAGAACATAATAGCTTGTCTAGGGAACACAAAATTCTCTATAGATGTTATAATCATAAGCGTAATAATGTTAAATTATATTTCAAAAATTAATCTTCAAATGCAAATTGAATGTCATAACATAATATTGATATTATTCATATAAGACTATTTAGCTGGTATCTTGCATTAAGCCATGTACATTTTTTGAGAGAAAACGTTAACAATAGATATATTGTTAAAATACACTTAACATGATCTGATAGATGGCTATGGCAAAGGAATCAAAGGAAATGTAGTGTAAAGGGAATAACAAGTAAGGGATACTCTTGTGTATCTGTTGTGATATGTGATAGATTATGACATATTACTCTGGAAAAAGTATGCTAACTGCAAATGAAATAAAATCACAAGAAAAATTTAAGTGTATTATATACACCCTACTCCCCAATTGTGCCAAATGAAATGAAACTTGCAGATTTTCACAACTAGTCTATTAGTTCGTTTTTTAAAAAAATTGAAATAAGGTCTAGTGATAGTAATTCTCTAAAATCTCTAAAGGACTTCTCCCCCTAAAACAGAACAAAATTAAAAACTTTAAACAAAAACAAGACATTTAAAAATCTATATCAAATTTCCATATATAATATTTTAAATTAAGCTACTGTTCTAACTGCCTTGGTATTTTTAATTAGATATATAAAATTTTATTTTATTTGTGTTTCAGATATGTTGCTACATTAGAATAAATGATACAACTATATTAACAGAATGCCCATATACAAACATTTTAAAAGTTTTAAATATTTTTCTTGTGAAAAATAACTAGCAAAAATCTTCTGAATTAGCCTTTAGATGATTACATGATTTTATAAGTCTCAAAAGGATGATTCTTTTGGTTAAAGATAAAGAATGGATGGGAAAACAAAATGTGCTTGTCTTACCTCCTCATTAATATACCAATATAGAGATGCATCCTTAAGGACAAACCAATATTTCTTCCATTTCTGCGAAAAATAACTCTTTGCATCTTTCTTTTTCCAAAGCCAGCCCTCACAGTCACCACGGCCAAGATCTTTGCAAGAAATTCGTCTTTTGCTCTTGCCAGCTATAGGACCTAAAGATAATAACAGTGGGTAAAAATGTTCTTTGAATTTTATAAACATGCAGAGGTAGAAGACTGATTTATAGATCACAACAAATCAGTCTGGGTTCCTAACCTTAAAAATTCCTGTTTATAATTTAGAAAAATATGGAAATCTTTAATATCATTTTTCCCATCTAAGTGACATACAATTTAATCGCAAGTGTGTAATCAGATTCAAGATGGAAGTGGAATAGGTGGAAGTCACACTCACCCCTCCCTCCTGGGGTGTAATTCATATCAGAATCACAACTAAATTACAGAACAAGCAACCTGAATAAACAATGGAAGTCTAGCTGAACAGAAGTCTTTTTAAAGCATATTTTATTGATTATCCTATTACAGTTTTCCCAATTTTTCCACCTTTATCCTCCTCTATCCCTGCACCCCCCAACCCTCCAGCATTCCCGCCCCTAGTTCATGTCCAAGGGTTGTACATATAAATTCTTTGGCTTCTCTGTTTCCTATACTATTCTTTACTTCTCCCCATCTATTTGATGCCTACCAGTTATACTTCTTATTCCCTGTACTTCCCCCCATTCTTCCCCTCCCCTTCCCCACTGAAATGTCCATTTCAATTCTGTTCCATGTGATGTCCATTTCTCTGACTCTATTCCTGTTCTAGTTGTTTGCTTAGTTTTTGTTTTCATTTTTTTTAAATTCAGTTGTTGATAGTTGTGAGTTGTTGTCATTTTACTGTTCCTAGTTTTGATCTTCTTTTTCTTAGATAAGTCCTTTTAACATTTCATATAATAAGGGCTTGGTGATGATGAATTCCTTGAATTTGATCTTATCTGAGAAGCACTTTATCTGCCCATCCATTATAAATGATAGCTTTGCTGGAGAGAGTCATCTTGGATGTAGGTCCTTGCCTTTCATGACTTCAAATACATCTTTCCAGCCCTTCTTGCCTGTAAGGTCTCTCTTGAGAAATCAGCTGATAGCCTTATGGGCACTCCTTTGTAGGTAACTGTCTTCTTTCCTCTTGCTGCTTTTAAGATTCTCTCTTTCTCTTTAATGTTGGGTAACTTAATGATGACGTGCCTTGGTGTGTTCCTTTTTGGGTCCAGTTTCTTTGGGATTCTCTGGGTTTCCTGGACTTCCTGGAAGTCTATTTCCTTCCCAGATTGGGGAAGTTTTCCTTCACTATTTTTTCAAATAAGTTTTCAACTTCTTTCTCTTGTTCTCCTTCTGGTACCCCTACGATTCTGATGTTATAGCATTTAAAATTGTCCCCAAGTTTCCTAAGTCTCTTCTCATTTTTAAAAATTTTTGTTTCTTCATTCTGTTCTAGTTGGATGTTTATTTTTTCCTTTTGTTCCAAATTGTTAATTTGAGTCCTGGTTTCCTTCCCTTCACTGTTGGTTCCCTGCATATTTTGCTTTATTTCACTCTGAGTAGCCTTCATTTGTTCCTTCATTTTGCAACCGAGTTCAATCAGTTCTGTGCGCATCCTGATTACCAGTGTTTTCAACTCTGCATCAGACAGGTTGGCTATTTCCTCATTGCTTAGCTCTTTTTCTGGAGTTTTTATCTGTTCTTTCATTTGGGCCATATTTCTTTATCTCCATGCACCTGTTTTATTGTAAGGGGGTGGAGCCTTTGGTATTCACCCAGGTGAGGCAACCCTTTTTGCTACATTGGAGCGCTGTCTGTGGGGGAGGGGCTAGAGAGGGAACAATGCTGTTGGCTTGCTCCGCTCTAGCCCCACTTTCCAATGAACTCTCTCATGTGAGACTGGGAGTTTCTCCTGTCTTGGCAACCCCCGCAGTAGCTTTGAGTCTTTACAGCTAGCTTTGAGTCTTTAGTTTCCCACTCAGCCAGCCCTACCTTGCCCACACAGTCCACTGACTTGCTGAGCATCCTCTCTGCTTGGCTGCCCAATTCTACCCTCTTACTGGTTTGTGTGAATGTTTCTTTAACTCATTGGTTGTCCATGGAGTTTGATTTTCTGGCACTTCTGGTTGTTTATTGTTTTTAAATTGATTCTTATCCTTCTTTTGATTGTGCAAGGAAGTGCAGCATTTCTACCTATGTCTCCATTGTGGCCAGAACTCTCTTAACAGAAGTCTTATAAATAAATAAAGATTTATAGTAGAAGCCATACTGAGGCAGATAGTAAGGGAACAGGTGTAAAAAGGGCTGGCCCTGCACCTACATGCGGCATTTGAGAATCAGGAGGGATAGCTCAGCTGCATAAGTTCCTCCTGAGAAATAACGGGTCTTAACCCCATGCCTGGCTCCTCAGCCTACAACACCAATGCAGAAAAGAAGGGCCTAAATATATGATGTGAAAATCAGCATAGATTTCATCTGCCAGCGTGAGACCTGAGGCTGCTAGAAATCCAAGCACACTCTTAAAGAGTCAGCACACAAAATCTCATTCATAGCCACTAACCCTGGGCAGATCTACCTAATACACAGGAACAAATAACAAAGAGGCAGCCAAAGTGAGGACACAAATAAACATGCTGCAAATGAAAGAGCTGAAGGTACACCCAGAAAAAGAACTAAAAGAAATGGAGGCAAGCGATCTACTTGGTACAGTTTTCAAAACAATAGTTAATGAAGAAGCTCAAGAAATTTAGGTAAAGAATGGATGAATTCAGTGAGAACTTACAGAGATAGTAAGCATAAAAAGGTATATAGAAAAAATTAAAAGGACCAGTCAAGAATGAAGAATACAATATATGAAATAAAGAGTATACTAGGAGGACTCAACAGCAGGTTAAATAAAGCAGATAATCAAATCAGCAATTTGAAAGACAAGGTAGCAGAGAACAACCAACCAGAACAGTAAGAAGAAAAAAGAATTTAAAAAATGATAGCTAAAGGACCAGTGAGACAACATGAAGTGTAGCAACATGTGCATCACAGTGCCAGCAGCAGAAGAGAGAGAGAGGGCATGGGATTAAGCACCTATTTGAAAAGATAATGACTGAAAACTTTCCTAACCAGGTGAAGAAAAAGACACACAGGTCAGGAGGTACAGAATCCCAAATAAGATGAAAGCAAAGAAGCTCACATCAAGACACATCATAATTAAAATGGCAAAGGTTAAAGATAAAGAGAGAATCTTAAAAGCATCAAGAGACAGGCAGTTACTTATAATAGAGCTTCCATAAGACTGTAATCTGATTTTCAAATAGAAACACTTCAGGTAAGAAGGGATGGGATTGGCATGAAATACTCAAAAAGATGAGAAGCAAGGACCTACAACCAAGACTATTTTATCCAGCAAGGCTATCATTTTAAAATGATAGAGAAATAAAGAGCTCCCAAGACAAGAAAAAACTAAAGGAGTTCATCACCATCAAACTAGTATTGGAAGAAATGCTAAAGGTTCTTTTTTAAGAGGAAGAAAAAAAGAGGAAAATACATATGTATGTTTATTATATGAACATACATATAATAAAATGGCAAAAAATATGTACCTATCAATAATCACATTATATGTAAATAGATTTAAAGCTTCAATCAAAAGGCACAGGGTAGCTGAAAGCATAAAAAAACAAGACCTATATATATGCTGTCTATAAGGGACCCACCTCAGAATAAAAGACACACACAGGCTAAAAGTAAAGGGATGAAAAAAATATATTTCATGCAAATGGAAAGGAGAAAAAGCTGGGGTAGCAATACTTACGTCTGACAAAATAGACTTTATAACAAAGTCTATAGTAAGAAATAAAGAAGGATACTACATAATGATAAAGATGTCCAAAAAGTCCAAAAAGATGATAGGTATAGCCCTTGTAAACTTGTATGTACCCAACATAGAAGCACCAAAATATTTAAGGCAAATATTGATGGACATAAGGGGAGAGATCAACAGTAATACAGTCATAGTACAGGATTCCAACAACACATTGACATCAATGGATAAATATTCAAGAGAAATAATAAGCAATAAGCAGTAGCTTTAAATGACATACTAGGCCAGATTAACTTTTTTCTTTTTTTATTGAATATGCCATTACATTTGTTCTCTTCCCTCCATTCCCCTCCCCCCTGCACACCCCTCCCCCACCATTCCCCCCTTTAGTTCACGAATACGTGTCTCAAGTTCTTTAGATTCTGTATTTCCCCTACTACTCTTACCCTCCCCTATTTTCTATCTACTGTCTATGCTACTTATTTTCTGTACCTTCTCCCCCCCTTCTCCTCCTCCCACTCCCCTGTTGCTAACCCTCCATGTGATCTTCATTTCTATGGTTCTGCTCCTGATCTAGCTGTCCTCTTAGTTTGCTTTTGTTTTAGGTGTGGTCGTTAATAACTGTGAGTTTGCTGTCCTTTCACTGTTCATCTTTTTTGTCTTCTTTTTCTTAGGTAAGTCCCTTTAACATTTCATATAATAAGGGCTTGGTGATGATGAACTCCTTGAACTTGACCTTATCTGAGAAGCACTTTATCTGTCCTTCCATTCTAAATGAAAGTTTTGCTGGATAGAGCAATCTTGGTTGTAGGTCTTTGGATTTCATGACTTGGAATACCTCTTTCCAGCCCCTTCTTGCCTGGAAGGTCTCTTTTGAGAAATCCACTGACAGTCTGATGGGAACTCCTTCGTAGGTGACTGTCCCCTTAGCTCTTGCTGCTTCTAGCATTCTCTCCTTCATTTTAATCTTGGCTAATGTAATGATGATGTGCCTTGGTGTGTTCCTTCTTGGGTCCAACTTCTTTGGTACTCTCTGAGCTTCCTGGATTTCCTGGAAGTCTATTTCCTTTGCCAGATTGGGGAAATTCTCCTTTATTATTTGTTCAAATAAGTTTTCCACTCGTGATTGTTCCTTTTCCCCTTCTGGTACCCGTATAATTAGAATGTTGGAACGTTTAAAGATGTCCTGGAGGTTCCTAAGCCTCTCCTCATTTTTTTGAATTCTTGTTTCTTCATTCTTTTCTGTTTGGTCATTTTTTCCTTCCTTCTGGTCTACTCCCTTGATTTGAGTCCCAGTTTCCTTTCCATTACTATTGGT